GAGAAGGTTAAGGGTTAATTAATTAATGCATCAAGCAAAAGTTATTATAGGATAGCTTTGCTGCCAGTGTTCAAAACATTGGCAATCAACCAGTACAAGTGCACAATACTTCTTTTACAAAAAGGTGTTTTGTTAATCACTCAAAACTCCCCCACCTTGATTTCTGTTAATAAATGGTGAGATTTTTATAGACTACAACTGCACTTATCAGCCCCGTCATAACCCAAATCCCAATTTTATTTTTGAACAAAAAAATTGAAACTGCTTGTAGAAAGCACAACTTTCCTCCTCCAAGATTACATCAGTGTCAGCCTCTCTAAGTCCTCCTCTAAGTTAACTGCTGTTCAAGCTTCTGCCAATGTTTTGTTCTTTCTCAATTTAGAAAGATGAAATCGTTTAGGCCTAGGAGGGAGTGCAACTCCCTTTCTACCACAAAGACCCACTCTACCAGTGCTGCATGGGGAAGCAACATAAAGTGGTTTTCTTCCATCGTGAATAAAGGTACTACCAGGGAAGGTACAGGACCACTACAGATGGGCCAAGACTGACAAAGGTAACCTGTTTGGTGTAGGCATTCACCTCAGCCTCTGTTAACCCTTCCCCTTTTATGATCTTAGATGGCATCAGGACAGGAGCAGGGAAGGAATAAGGACCGCCTCACTTAAATACCTCTAAAACCACACACAAAACCATCGAGATGTCTGACACACAGAGCAAGAGCACTGTAGGATGAATGTGCTTTGGAGACAAAATTCTCCTCCTGTTCCATGCAATTGTTTGTCCTAAAAACACAGGGTTGTCCTTAAAATGCAGTATTGGGACACGGGATACACAACTTCACTCAGATAAATCCACTGGGCTTTTGTATGGCTTCTTTACATGCGCACGAGGCCCTTGGGCATGCAGCACGTGATTAAAACCATGAGGTATGCAGAGTGGTCATCTCATACTTTGCATCCACAATACATTCACCCCCAAGATGCACTTTCCCATCTGTGCTGTAGTCTTTCTTTGATTAGTAGTTTTAGAGATATACATTGCTGCACACATGACAACATTAGAAAGACCATAAAGAAGGAAAGGCTAAGAAAAGGAATGTGAGGTGAGAGAACAAGGTTGGAAAGATGCGATGAAAATTGGCAGAAAGTGTTAATATTCGTTGCAAACGATAGGTATAGTGGTTTTTTTTCTTCTTTTACTGTGATGTTAGAAAGTTTCTCTTTCTGGTAATACAAAGCTTCATCCAGTTTAAAGGCTGTTTTGAGGGTATGAGTTCCTACTCTACCCAATCCACTGAACACAGATGACTGAACCCACACCAAAGTGACCAAGGTGGGTTTTAGAAGCAGTTTGGCCCATCTCTAAATACTAGCCATGAAAGAAAAAAACTACAAAGCAGGTCCAAAGCAAGCACCACACAGCAGAGGGAACACATCTCATGCAGAGTATTAGGGAAAAAGCTGAATACACTTGAAAAAAAATTAAAGGAAAAACAGTCACAGATCAACAGATCTCCACGAGGAGCCCCTGCACAGAAAACTTCCAGTTAGCGGGTATCTTGGGCTAAAGCAAACACAACTCTTTACAACCATAGGTCAAGGTTTCTCTGCAGAAAAGAGTTAGAGCATAGTCTTCATACAGTAAAAGTTATTTATACACGTTTGCAAATACTTTCAGAAGATAAAAGCGCTCTCTCCATTTTAGACTAAGTTCAGTGCAATCTATATTACATTACACCGTTGTGTTCTGGCCCCAAAATACCTATTCTGGAAGAGCAGTTTCCTGCAGCAAGGACAGTGAGAGGTAGCCTAACACCTGAGAACTGACAGAACTCGATGCACCGGGTCTATATTAGGTATTTCCCCCTTGAAAACTCTGCTGCCACGACTGCCCACAACAGTGTCAGAAATGGCCTGTACTACATTGATATCAGCAAAGGAGGTGATGCTCCCTTGATGTATTAGTAAGGGCATTGCTGATGGACAATGACAGGAGATTTCAGGAAAAAAGCCTAGAAAAAAGGAGGAAAGGCCACTTCTTGCCACACGCACCTGTGTGCCCCAGGAACACTCAAGCTGTACAGGGAGACGGCAATGTATTTTGTCTGCAAACCACAGCCCTGCTCTGAGACGTAGTGTGAAGACAGTTATGGCACATGTTCTGTCTTTCCTTTCACCCTCCATCCCTACCACATGCCACAGACTAACAGGGAGGGAACACCTTCTTTTTCTCCCTACAAAGCATAAGTGGATGCTGCCTCTGGCCCTTTTAGAGGACATGGAAAGGGAAGAAAATAGCATCTCTGACTGGTTTCTCCCTTTCAATGACATTTCTGCTCTAGAGCAGGCTGCTCATACTTTCAAAACCAGCTTATGTACACCTCTTTTGCACCAACACCTGGAAATGGGTGTGTGCCTAGCAGAAAGGATTGTCTTCAGAAAGAAACCATGATCACTTCTATTAGGGCAGGATATTATGTGTGACATTGCATGAACTTCATTTCCCTCTACTCTGAAGAAATGGATTTGGGAAGACGTGGAATGGCTCTAAAAAAACCCTAGCCTGTTTTTTTAACAGTATTCTCCATTTTATGTCTCACCAGCAAGCACTATTAATTAAAACTTTCCAGCTATCAGCATGCTCACTCCATAATGAGGATCAGAATAACCCCGATTGCCAGAGAGAAGTTAATCAGTTTAAGCATTACTGCTTTTAAATCAACTGGCTCAATTCCACCATCAGGAGACATATTTCATTCCACCTGCTTCATTTCTGCATTAGCAAACAGCATCACTGGGGGGATGTTGGCTGCTCTTCTGAGAGTAAACCCCAGAAAGACGTCCAGCTAGCAGGGAGAGCTGGAGTTTCAGGGAGCATCAGGAATTGCCATTGGTGGCAGATTTGCTCTTCATGTCGGGATTTCTCATTTTGCTTTTCTTGACTCAGTCCCAGGAGGAAAACACCTACCAAGTCTTGGCCTCTGATTAATCTATTAATTACATAAATTAGGGCATGCTCAAGACTTTCAATTATACAGATCCCCACTCGCCTCCTTGTGCTGCAGTGCTCAAATCTGCGTCTCATTTGAGGCGCATTGAAAAAACCCCAAGACTTACCAAATGTTGTCCCCGCCTCTGGCCTGCTCACCGATGAGACGATGACAAAGCCGAACCCCTCATTTTCACCGCGGCGGATTTCCACATCGTAGGGCTGGACCACGGCACTGACGACACCGCTGCCCCCGCCACCACCACTGCCGATGCCACTGGTGCTGCCACTGCCCGAGCTGACGGTGTTGAGGGAGTTCTGGCTGCCCTGCGGCGTTCGCTTCTCCTCCGTCAGCGAGGCCGGCTGGTTGCTGCTGTGGTGGGAAGAGGCTGGGGACGGGACTTCATTCTCTGCCTTGGGAACTGGGGAGTTAAAAAAAGACTGTCTGAGCAAGCTGCATCATTTAGTGCTTGAAAAGTGCCATCCACTGAGAAAAAGGTAAAAAAATAAAGCAAATCACCTGCTTTAATCTATAAATCATGGCCAGAGTGACCAAGGGCTCTGTCTCCTTTCGGATGTCACCACCAACAGCTCTGTTTGGTGATGGCACTGACCACACATGCTCATCCCTCTCCAGTGTATCCTCACGCAGCCAAAGCCTTTTGCTGCCAAACTACAGCAGCTGTACGGTTAAACCAGTGCAGTGCTGCGTGCTTGGATGCTCTGTGGCATTTTAAACCGGGATTACATTAGTTCAGGGGTGTCTCCTTTAGATATCACATCCCCACTTCAGTTATACATGTGCAACTGTGTCTATGGGCACAAGCCGTGAGGAGAGACAGTAATACCAAATACCCATCACTCAACACGTGTATTTTTTTAACTCAGTGCTATCAGTTGGGTAGCACTGATTGCCTTTGATTAATGTGATCTTAAGTAATAATAACCACCCGTACTAAAGCAAAACAACTTGTGAACCAAGATTTTTCTGGATAGAACCACCAGCAACTATCATTTGTACAGTCTGACACAGTTGGGGGGAAACCATTAAACATTATTAACATTAATATTAAACAAGTGTTTAACAGCAACTGAAGTTGGAAGCGGTATCAGTTTAAAATCTAATCAGCTACCACAGGTTTTGAAGAAATCTTAAAAAAATCGCTTAGTCCATACTCTGCTCGAGTCAGGGCCAACTATATTCACTGTCAGTCCTGACAGATGTTTGTCTAATCAGCTGTTAAACATCTCCCCAGGCAATCTATTGGTTGCAATATCTAACTTAAATCTTCCCTGCTGCAACATAAGGCTATTATTTCTACTTCTATCTAGCAGGCATATGGAGAACATATTATTCCCTTCCTCTTTGCAGCAGCCTCTTATAGTCTTGGGGACTTTAACACCTCCTCCCCCTTCTCTGCTTTAGGCTAAACAATCCCAATTTGTTCAATATTTCCTTGCAGACCATGTTTTCTAGAGCTCTCCTTATTCTTGCTGGTCTTCTGGACACCTTCCAGTTGGGCTCTCTCCAACTCAAACATGTCTTTCTTGAAGTGCTGGACCATATTGCAGCTAAGCCATCATCTGCTGGGAAATCAGGAGAGTTCCCCCCTGCCTACATCCCAGCATAGTGTTTTTCTTCACCTGAGCCAACCTCAAGTTAAAACCTGTGGCCCATAATAGCTTCCATTTCTTGCTCCTCAGCCAGTTCTCCACAGTCCATTTGCACAGCTGAGCACAGCATATTGCTCTTGTCTCTACTGAATGGCTGCCTCCACTAGTCAGGTCACTTCTCCAGTGTGGTGAATCAAAATTAAGACGAAGATCTTAAAAGCAACAACAAGCAAACAGATGCCAAACGAAATCTAAATCTGTAAACCCATGATCCAAAGCAAAAGAACTTCAAAATATTATTGAATAGAAGTACCTGTCTACACTTATGTGCTCAAACTATGTGCCAAATATATAGTATTCCACATAATAAGAATACAGGAGTATAAACTTTCCCCTACATGAATCTCAAGACATGGAGTACTCATTTAGGTGAACAATCTTTTTCTACTGGCATATAGATGACAGGAGGAATAAGGGACCAAAATTCAGGAAGAGGCTTCTCTCCGAAGTTATGCCAGAATTTAAAAGCCTGCAAATATAAGGTGAAAGAAGGGATCCTGAATAATTTATCCTAGAGTAAGTGTCCACATTTGCAATGATTCAGAAATAGCTCGGTCTGGTGTAACAAGCCCCTGAATGAAATACCAAGAGATCTCTCATGCATCTAAATCTTTTATGGTAATTTCCAGCCTGGAGGCTGCAAAACTGGATAGAAAAATCTACGCACAAAAACAGTACCAAAATTCAGCTGCCCTCCCCCTTCCTCCCAAAGCTCATCTCCTAAAGCTTCTCTCACATCGGCAGCAATTTGTCAGGAATGAGAGAGGCTATTAGAGGAGAGACACAACCTCACATTTAATCCACAATGGGAAGAAGGAAAGAAATGAGAAATGAACATTTATTTAATATTGTGTGGAAGGAGCTCAGCCCTGGGTAAGAATACAGAGCTATTTTAGAGGTACTGTTCTAGTCCTAACTTCCACTGCGGGCCTAATTTTCAACCTGAAAGTTATTTTGATGCTCTTTAAGATGAAAGTACATCACTGCCTATTTTTCTGCTGATGTCTAAACTTGAAAAGCTATGTAATATCCTTTCCTCTGAACAAGTGAGCTAAATCAAATCTCACACTTGAGCTCCCTAAAGGGACTCACAAGAAGAGGCAGCACCCCAATGTTACTCTCAGAGTAACATAAGTTACGTACTGTCCGAGTAAGTATAAGTTCACTTGTCATTTAGAAAGCTCATGCTCGTATCTTCATTTTCTTTCTATGTCTATCACAACATTTTTCTGTTGCTAATCTGGTGCCACCACGCAGTGTCACTTCCCTCTGCAACTCTGTCTTTCTGCCAGCTTCTTTTTTGTCCATTTAGACCATGCACTTGTACAGTATGTACGTAATGCCTAGCATAACTCAGCATACAGAAATCTCTCTACTACAACAAGCGTCCACACCCTGCACTACCAGAACCAATGACACTTAACAGTTTTGCATCCTGCTGTTAGCTGACTACATGTTGCAATCTCAGTTGAAGCTTCTTCTGAGCCTGGGACATCAGCCACCTCACACCAGTGCCCTCACTCGCTCTCTGCCCTTGCCTTCCCTCTCATGCTCTCTTCACCATCTTTTCCCTCACTCCCAGTTTAAGGGTGGTTATCCGGCAGCACAGTTATTTTGAGAAGTAAATAGAAAACACAGGCAGTCAGGCACAGTGTCTGTTGCTACGTGAGTCAAACTAAAAATGGTGTGTTGCAACTGAAGAGTTCCCCGCTTTATCAGAAACCTTCACAAAGACTGGGGAAGTCAACTGAGATTGAGTCTTGACTAGAAACAAAACATTTGAAAGGTATTTGATCAAGAACAAAAAAGACTAAAAATAAGCAAAAGAGGAAGAATAACATCATATCCCCTGAGTTTTCCCAGCATTACAAGGAGGACCTTTTTTTCTTTAAACCATTTGCTGAACAGATGGAGTCTGGCAAGAAAATCTACCCCTGCAGTGCAACACTGCAGCCTACCTGTGTAAACAACTTTGCGCCTGACGGTCAGATTGACATGACCTTGTTTGGCTGCCTGTTGCATAAGCTGGACGACAAGCTGGTGCGATTTCCCGACGACAGGCGTCCCATCCACACAGATCAGTTCATCACCCGATCTCAGGCGGCCGTCAGCATCAGCAGCACCCAGCGGTACAATGTGACCGATGTAAATCTGATGAATTAGTACAAATAGGAGAAAGAAAGGAAAGAAAGAAAGGAAAGGAAACGAAATGAAAGAAAAAATAAATAGCGATAGATGAGAACTAGCTCAACAGCCAGCTGGAAGCAAGGGGCACTGGTAGTTGGATCCATTTAGTAGGGACAAGAAATTGTTGACAAGTGTCTGCTGGTCGGCAAAGCTGCTCCTGTGAAAGCAGCTCCATGTGAATATAGTCACATTGTGAAATTGTAATAAATCGACATATTGTTTCTTTAGGCGGTCCATTCACTCTAACGACAGATAGCCTTGGGAAATGTGTTCGACCAGACAGCGACCAGAGAGGACAATGGTTAAAAGCACTGAGGGTCCTGTCAGGGAAGCTGAGATCGAGTTATCCTTTCAGTTGCCTCTAGGGTTTACAAGCTCCATCCCACTCGCCCGTTCACCAAGTCAGTCTTTGTTTATCTTCAGCGAGTTCTGTGGAGTTACTCTAACACGAGAGGAATCCATGGTCTCTCTTTCCATAAATAAGCAAAATAATTTTGGCAGGGAAATATGTGAAAATTTATGGTGCCCCTATCCAGCTTTGACCTGTTGAGCACATGAAAGCCTGACACCTTCCACAGGCACTGGATTTATCATAAAGAAGTTAAGTGAATTCAAGGAGGGAATTGAGCAAATAGAAAATCTGACACTCTAAGATCAAAATACTTGCAAAACCAGACCAGGACATACTTTCCTCAGTGTCCAGGCAATTTCAGACCTACATATTTTCATTTGGGCTATCACAAAACCAGGGAATAGCAGGGGAAGTCAAACACATATCAATTATGGGAGTTTTGGTTTGTTTCTTGGAGGGAGGGTGGAGATGAGTTGCAGGATGTAATTACATAGCCCCCTAGTTATTTTAACACAGATGCTACAACACAGTTCTGTACATCTGTACATGCTACTACCATGATCCTGGAAGATGTCACAAGTTGGACAGGCTGGATCGATGGGCCGAGAC